CTTGTCACTGCTGTCGCTGACTTCGCTACTAGCCACTCCCTTGACTATGCTGCCGTTTTGGTCTCTGGTACTGCCTGTCCTCCGCCCGTCGGGGGTGCACCTGCCCTTGGCAGTGACGTGCTAGAGGACATGCAGTACGAGCTGGCCTGCCTTGCTGCCGCTGTACCCCATCTCTGCTCCATGTTTGTATCCCCAGAGGGCGACCCGGACGCCCTCGACATCCTCGTATGCTGAGACGGCGCGTGGGCAGCCTAGTGGATACATGCTATGGAGGCTGAAATGACATGCTACAGATCCACAGGCACTTACGTCGACGCAGTTCCCCCCCTGGGGCGAACGTAGTCGATGGCATGTGGATCTATAGGGTAAAGCGCGCACCTGGTGAGCTGCCGAAGTTCAAGGCGCATTGCGTGGCTAGAGGCTTCAGTCAGCGAGAGTGTGTAGACATTATTATAGGATCAAATTGGTTGAGAGAAAGTTCCACTATCGATCGATACAAGGTGCATTAATACTTCCAAAGTACATCAGGTAACCAGGTTAATCCTATCCAAAGGGAGCCGGTGATTCTATTTCTGAGCTAGTTCCCTTCTAGAAATAGAATCACCCTATGTATAGCCATGCGAGACTATTGGCTTTTAAGGGATTACGTCAGGATTACGCTAGATATAGTGCACCATTACATCCCGAGTCTGGTTGGTGCTATAATTATAATTAAAGGATAAACAGAAGGATAACGAAGAATAAGGAATATGAAACCAAATGAGATAAGATAAAGACCAAAAGAATCAAGAGAAAAAGAAGAGTGAGACAGAGAAGAAATATAGAAATATGAAAGAAGTATAATGGGGTCGTACTCTTACAGACTCCTTCCATACCTTCTCTCCTACCCCACAGATAACTACTCTTCGGGTGCTCCTCCACCTAGCCATGCAGCGTGACTACGAGCTTCACTCTTTGGACTTCTCCACAGGCTTTCTGCAGGGTAGTCTGCACGAGCATATCTACATTTGGTGCCCACTAGGCTTCTTTGTGTCCTTCCCGCCTGGGACCGAGTGGAGCCTGCGCCGCCTAGTCTACGGCCATTATCAGGTGCTCCGTGAGTGCCACGACATGCTTCACACCACACTTGCTGAGTTGCAGTTCTTTTCGTCCTCTGCTAACCCTTCTCTCTTTGTTCGCGCTGGTCAGACACCGCTCTACATCCCAGTATACGTTACTCCTGACAGAGACGCAATGGCCTCCGTGAATGCCGAACATATGAGGCACACCTGTACAGACATGGAGGAGTTGAGGTGCTACCTGGGCTTGGAGATCTCTAGCGATCGTGCTGCTTATAGGATCACACTCTCCCAATCCCATATGGTGCAGAGAAATCCTCCAGAGGTTCAGTTTTCATTTCTCCTCAGCACAGCCCTCCCCTCTGCCTGTGGATCACAAGCTCTCTGCTCCTGTTCCGGCTGAGCCGACCGAGCCTAGTGGTCCATACGCAAAGCTGGTGGGGTGCCTCATGTATCTTATAACTTGCACTCGTCCAGATCTAGCGTACCCTCTTAGTCTCCTTGCACGCTTTGTTGCAACAGGCAGGCACCAACCAGCCCAATGGTCGGCTGCCAAGAGGGTACTGCGGTATCTGGCAAGTACATCAGGACATGGGCTCGTACTAGGAGGAGGGGGGCCTGTGGTGCTCACTAGACACACAGACACGTCATGGGCTGACAACTTGGAGATGCTCAGGTCCTCTCAGGGCTACTGTTTTAGTCTTGGCTCTGGTGCAGTCTCATGGAGGTCCACTAGGTCGTCGTTTGTCCAGTTGTGAGAAAGAGATATACGCTGGGGCCATGGCCGCTTAGGAGCTCTTCTGCCTGTCGTTCTTTCTCACTGACTTAGGTGAGCAGCCTAGGTCTGCCCCGGTCTTATTTGCTGACAACAGTGCCATGATCCTCCTGTGTCAAGAGGCTTGACTTGAGGGCAGGGCGAAGCATATCCAGTTGCGGTACTTCCTGCTGCGTCAGTTGTAGCAACGTGGTTAGGCTCGTGTAGTACAGGTGACCTCAGAGGCTAATGCCGCTGATATCTTTTCCAAGGCACTACCGTCTCGTGACCATCAGCGGTTTTGTACTCAGCTTGGTCTAGTCTCAGTAGCAGCTCCTCTCGTTGTATCATTATGCATACTGTACCTGTTTGTACTTGCTATGATATACCTGCATGTCTGATCCTGCAGCCGGTCTATAACGCCAAGATAAAAAACAAGGGCCGCCACCTCAGCGTCGCACCGACGCTGCTGATTAGCAGCCGCTACAGACACATTCGTCACTGCCCCAGACGACGAGTAAATAGCGACGCGTGGCATAAGCGCGCCATCGCGCGACGTGCAGCGACGCTTGAACTCTCTAAACGAAAAATGACAATAAGGGTGGTGCGACGGGCACAAAAACGAGCAACGCCAGCAGGCACTGCGCAGGGGACCCTGGAAACTGCGAGAAGATTTTCAGGTGACCCCGATTTTTCCACTACCTGCACCCTCCCTCCCCCGGCGCCCCTCCCTCCCCTCACCCCTTATCTCGCATACTCCTAACACCCGTCACTCTTCTAGGACCTGGCTGTTGAACAAGCTAGGTAGCTATGGAAGCCATGGAATGGCGTGAGGTTTAGGAAGGAGAAAAATATCGAGAGAGAAGAGAATTGGAATAGAAGAGAAGGAGATACAAGAAGGGGGGTAGTCCCTTCTATAGTAGGATTCAGTAAGTAGCACAACTACAAAGTCTACAATTATATATATAAATATATAATTTAACACTGGCTACCAGGCTACTTGTTGGGAAGGGGTACTCCCCTCATACCCATAGAACACACGCGACTCCAATGTGACGCAGAGCTTGGAACAACCTCAAGTAAAATCCGTGGAAATGTGCGCTCCCTGAGCTTTTTTTTTGCTGGCCCTGAAAAAACAGAGCAGTATAGCTTCGGATGTTAGCATAGTAGAATTACTAGAAACAAGAGAGAACAAGCAAGACATAGGGTTGGATTGTACTCTCTAAGAACATACACCTATTCTAGCCTATAAATTCTACATGCAGAATGTATGTATAAGTTGACATCGGACCCTGGGTTTTCAGGGTGAAATTTGAAGGGAGCTCTGAGCATCAGAGCAGTTAAAGTTGACCCAAAACGTACAAGGTCAATAAAGATGAACAGGGCAAAAAGTTGAGCTGGAGAAAGGACATGGGCATGGAGGAGTGGTGTGAGGGTGGCGAGAGTGGGCGAACACAGCACACTACGAAAACCAATCAGAACGAGCATACAAATTATGACAGAACCAAAACGTTCGGATACAACGACTGGGGGAAATCGAGGGTGGGGAAAAGGAAAGTGGGGGCGCGCGCAAGGCGCAGGGGGGAGTGGAGGAAGAATACCTTGTCAGACTGGCGCACGGCACAGCTTGGAACACTGGAAACAGCAAGAAGGAAGGGCACGTGACTCTGGGTTGCGCATCCTGGCCGAGTTGCGCAACTCGCTTGGAATCGCCGAGCAACTCGACTTGCGCATATCAGGGTGTGGTACACCTTATATCACGAGTATGTCTTCAAACTGAAATTCGAACAGCTGATGCGGTTGTAGACGTTTAGACCGTTTTCAACGCGATCAAGAAGGCTATATAAGAATTTTTTTTTTCCAGTTCAAGTCGCGTACCTTACTTGAAACGATTTGTACTGCACCCTAATAAAAACTGGCGTGTGTTGTGCATGGTGCTTTCGCTGCCTAGGGCGTAGTGGCACTGGGCTGGGTTTGCACTCCGAAAAGTCCCAAAATGTATGGGGGGGGGGGAAGTTCAAGTTTATTTCCGATCAAACGCCTGGTGTGGCGGGGGCAGGGGCATAATCAGCTGGGGGTGGCGCAAGATTATAAACTGTTCGCCGTCGTTTTCTTGCGCAACTTTCGTTTTTGCTCTCGCTCTGGGGAACGGGTTACCAATCAGGGGGTTTCAAGATTAATAAACTTGAAAGGCAATTTCTGCAATTTGGGTCAACGGCTTTAAAAAAACCCAACATAGCTGCGAACCTCGAGGTTGAGCGACGAAACCCACGCAATGTGGTTCGGGCGCCTCTAGATTCGGAAGTGTCGGACGTGGCTCCACGTGCTGGTTCGTTGTCACGAACGCAGTTCGTCATCTAGGTTTTCGGGTCGAGCCTGGACTTCCGGAGTTTAGGGCGTACGCTGTGTAGTGAATAACTCGGCAAGGAAATGAAGTTTCCTTACAATTACAAAAACCATTTCACTATCTGCTATGCTGAGCTCTATTTCTGTATCGACTACACTGGCTAGGAGACAAGTGCTGTTGACCATAAGCTCTGCCTGCACCTCCCAGAGGTCGGGAGATGATTCGGGCGAGTAAGATGTGACCAGGTGGCAGTCATGTAGCCCATAGACGACTCTGATGTGGGGCAACTGCTACCGACTTGGTCGTCGTTTTCGTCGCCATTGTGGCCCAGTGCGACGAATGCCGAAACGAGATCCTTCTTGACTAGGCTTCCTATTGGTTGGGCACGGGTGTGCGTGCGTGTGATCTTCCGCCCAGCCAACCGCTACGGACGGTTGCACATACGAAGGTCGTCCACCGCGCATTTCACTTCGCCAGGAAATAAATGAGCGGTACAGTACGGTAATGAGCGTTTCTTTACGCAATTGTTCGAAGTATTTTCGCCTAGATTCCACCACCATATTCGCGCACCAGCATTCCCCGCGACCCCCCCGCTGTAACCTCCGCACCTTTCCCTCCCCTGCCTAGCACCCCCACGGAGGGCTCATTCGTCTCACGCACTCTCCGCCCGCTTGCATTGCGCATTCTGCAGCACTTGCGCCGATCTTGCGCCTTGCTCTGCACGGGACGGGAAGCCAAATTCCATTTCACTGCCATTCCCCAGTGCCCCACCGTTCCCCGCCCCACAGCACCATACATCAGCGAGTCACCAGCATCGCCCCTTATTGTTCATTCTGACTTGCACATTGCTTCGCATTCCTAGTGACTGGTCTGTTGCGAATTCAGTCTCCACGACTGCGTCGTTGTGTGCACGTTTCCCGTTCTCGTCGTCTTCGCTCTTTGCATCTTCTGTCGGTCGACCGCACGCGTTCTGCGGATTCATCAGCACGTGTGCCAGGCGTTGGGGATTCTCGAGCCGTGCTGATTTTCTAGCTTACCTGATTATCGAGCCTTGATTCTCCACCACTGCCGATTCTTCAGCATTGAGCAGACGCGGCGCGATGGCGGAGAACGAGTGGCTCTCAGGGTACCTGGATGCAATCTTAGAGCGCGGAGGCCAGCCGATGGACACCGACAAGAAAGAACGGCTGGATTTGTCGGAGATCAAAGGCCGGAGCGGCACAGCCGTCCGATACTTCGTGAATGAGATCAAGGATTCGAGCGAGGAGGAGCTGCATCGCACGTGGATGAAGGTAATCGCACATGAATGGATCGCACAGGTTTCGCACATGAATACGATGTCGCCACATGGATGAAGATGTCGCACACGATTCTGTCGCACGTGATTTTACTATAATGCGTGGACTCGGTTCTAAAATATCGTATTCTCCGCTTTGCCTTTTACTCTACGCCTTGCTTCGGTTCCCCTTCGCGTGATCATCGTGATCTGCAGGCGACAGCTATGAGCGACGAGAAAGGGTCGGAGTTGCGCTTGGATGAGTGTCCAGCACGTGGGTTAAAGACGTCTTACTGAACGCCTTGCTCGTTTTCCCCTTCGCGTGATCATCGTGCTCTTGATCTGCAGGCGACAGCTATGAGCGACGAGAAAGGGTCTCGCATGGAGAATTTCACCTGGCGAATCTGGCACCTGTCGCGGCAGAAGAAGCAGGTAAGCTTTGGTTCGTCAGCTGACGAGATTTTTTAGTAGAGCAACAACTTTTACCTGGCGAATTCGGCACCTGTGGTAGGAGGGAAAGCAGTTGTTATACATAGTTTTCGACGGTGCAGTGTGGTGAAATTCCATACTGAATTACATGGGACCTTTCACGGAAGCAAGCATTCCCTGATCGTTTTTGGTTGCCTTTCTGGAGCTGCCGTGCCCCCCAGCTCCCCCTCCCCCCAACTCCCCCCTCCAACTCCCCTCCCCAATTAGGCCAAAGATGGCCTGCTGGATTCCCCCCATTTTCTCCAAAACCCCCTCTCCCCTCACCCGTTCTCCTCCCCCTTCTTCTCCGCCCCCTTCAATGTCCTCCATAATCAGTTGGAGCAGGAGGCGTGGCGCATGAAGCAGCAGCAGCAGCACGACAAGGAGGAAGCGGAGATGGACATAGAGGAGGAGGACGGCCCGGACTCCCAACAGGACGCCGACGCCCTATCCCTGGCTGACGCGGGTGCTGACGTGGACAAGGCCGCGGATGACCTGCTGGATTCCAGTGCCAACGTGGCAGCGGCTCAGGCCGCTGCAGCGAAGGCAGCAGCAGAGAAGGAATCGAGGGGGGGGAGGGAGAACCAGCAGCAGAGGGAGCAGCAGAGGGAGGTGCCTGCTGGTGCGGGGTTGGCTGCGGAGGCCCCTGGAAGAGACCCGTTTGAATTTGGGCCGGAGAAGAGGCTCTATATTGTCATGATCAGGTGAGCCTTAAGAGTTCTAGGGACCGTTTATTTTTTCCTGCAGCCACATTCTGATCCTGGTGGGCCGCGGAGGCTCCTGGAGGGATCCGTTGGAGCATGGACCGGAGAAGAGGCTTTATATTGTCATAATCAGGTGACGATTGGTCGTGAGCAGGTGAGCCTAGGGAGTGTCATGATCAGATGAACCTTGGGATTGTCGTGATCACGTGAGACTCGGGATTGTCATGATCACGTGAGCCTTGGGATTGTCGTGATCACGTGAGCCTTGGGATTGTCGTGATCACGTGAGCCTTGGGATTGTCGTAATCATGTGAGCATTGGGATTGTCGTGATCACGTGAGCCTTGGGATTGTCGTGATCAGGTGAGCTTTGGGATTGCCATGATCAAACGGATCATCTCAGTGGAACGATAGTAGCAAGGCTGCGGTGGCAGGGCATGTTAGACCGGGGGGGGGATTAGATTAGGGGAACAGACAAGTTGGACATCGAAGGGTTTTGCTATCGAAGGAAATACGTGGGCTAATCAGGTTTTGAATATCGTTGAAAGTCAATTCCGATTAACACATTGTGCATGCTTTCTTCACCCTTCTCACTACAGCATCCATGGCTTGGTCCGGGGAGAAAACATGGAGCTGGGGAGAGACTCGGACACAGGAGGCCAGGTACGTGTCCCTCCCTCCCTGTATGCAGGTATGTATGTGTCCCTCCCCCGTTCTGCGTCCAGATGCAGTCTTCCTCTCCACTTGCAGGAGAAATTCTTGCAGAGGTGCCCCCATCTGGACTTTCTCGTCACCCCACTCATTCATTACACACGTGGATCAGTCGTTTGACACAGATCTCCTTTGCACTCTGCCCTGATTCCTGAAAGGGTTCCTCGCGCGCACCACCAACAGAGCACCCTGCTTCTGCAAGACACTCTTCTCTCCTCCCATCTTCCCTGTATCAGGGTCAGCTATACGGTGTAGCTGAAACCCAGCCCGTACCCTGCCACTCTGGCTTCTCTCCCCAACCCCCCCCCCCTCCCCCCCCCCCCCCCCCGCTTACCCCCCCGCCCCCCCAACCTCACCCTCTGACCGTTACCTTGTCCAGGTCAAGTACGTGGTGGAGATAGCTCGAGCCCTGGCCTCTATGCCTCAGGTGTATCGTGTGGATCTGCTCACCCGCCAGATCGTGGCTCCCGGGGTGAGTGGTGGATTACGGGGTAAAGGTAAGGGAGGGTTGGTTCTCGAGGCGTCAGTCAGGGTGGAATAGCTGCGGTGCGTTAGGCTGAAGTGGCTACGGTGTACGAAAAGTGCTTCCCCAACCTTTTCGCCTTCTTTTGTTCACTTCCCTCCCCAACCCACGTGGACTGGTCTGATAGCAGGCGCGAGCGCAAGCACCTGCATCATCCGCCTGCCCTGCAGGCTGGAGACCAGTGCCTGAAGAAGGAGGCGGTGTGGCCGTACGTGGACGAGTTTGTGGACGGCGCTTGGCTCACTGAACCCTTGTCATGCCCCACCGAACAGCAATCGCACCCCGCCCATGCCCCACCCCCTCCTTCCCCTCTCCCGTTGGCCTGTCCTTTTCCCCCCTCCTTCCAGGTGGACTGGTCGTACGGCGAGCCCTCAGAGATGATCAGCTCCCTCTGCTACAACCCCGATGGCATGATATCCCGGGAGAGCGCCAGGGCCTACATCATCCGCCTGCCCTGCGGGCCTCGGGACCAGTACCTGAAGAAGGAGGTGCTGTGGCCATACGTGGACGAGTTTGTGGACGGCGCTCTGACAGGCTGAACCCTTGCAAAGCCACACCCTGCCGGCCTTCCTTCTTCCCCTCTCCCTTGGGCCTCTCTGTTAACCCCTCCTTCCAGGTGGACTGGTCGTACGGCGAGCCGTCTGAGATGATCAGCTCGCTCCGCTACGACCCTGATGGCATGATCTCCGGGGAGAGCGCCGGGGCCTACATCATCCGCCTGCCCTGCGGGCCCCGGGACCAGTACCTGAAGAAGGAAGCGCTGTGGCCTTATGTTGATGAGTTTGTGGACGGCGCTCTGACGCACATCATGCACATGTCAAGGGAGCTGGCGGACCAGATCGGGGACGGGCAGCGTGTGTGGCCGTACATGATCCACGGGCACTATGCTGACGCTGGGGACATGGCTGCTTTGCTCTCAGGTTGGTTAGTCCCTGCAAGGGCAGCACATTTCATGCCAGTGCCTTGTTTCGAGTGAGTCTGCTGTGGTACTTGGTGCGGGGATGTCCCTCGCTTCAAACAGGGGTGCTGACGCACATAATGCACATGTCAAGAGAGCTGGCGGGCCAGATAGGCGACGGGCAGCGCATGTGGCCGTACATGATCCACGGGCACTGCGCTACACGGGCACTGCGCTACGCGGACTCTCGGCTGCGCTACGCGGATGCAGGGGACATGGCTGCGCTGCTCTCAGGTTAGTTGGCCCTGCCCTTCAGTGCGTTACAACCACCTACATGTGCATCAAGGTTGGGCAGCGCATCTGGCCGAACGTGATTCAGGGGCGATATGCTGACGCTGGGGACATGGCTGCTCTGCTCTCAGGTATGTGCGTTCAGGCCTGCATTCAGACCGTGGCCCGGCAGCAGAGTGTGCAGATTTTTTTCTTGAAAGATTTGCGGCCAGTATGGAAGTGCTGCTGCCATATTGCTCCAATGCGACAGACGGGCGACCGCGAGGAGGTGCATAGAGGTTTGTCGATGGACGTGTAAGAGGCGGGGAAGGGGTGAGAGGCAGCAGTAGTACCGACGAGCGACCGCGAGGAGCCGGACAGAGGTTTGCCGACGGGCGGGCATGAGGCGGGGAAGCGACAAGCGGGCACAAGCAGGCACAAGCGGGCGGACGCAAGCAAGCTTCCCCGCCTCATATCATTCGCGCCCGTCCGCATACCTCTGTCTGCCTCCTCGCAGTCGCTCGCCTGTCCCACTGCTGCCTGGTCCACCCCTCGGACAATTCTGTTGTGTTTCATCGATGCCCCCTCTGTCCAGCTGCACTAAATGGCCCATGGTCCTTACCAGCCACTCCCTGGGCCGGAACAAGCTGGAGCAGCTGCTGAAGCAGGGCCGCATGACTCCCCCCTACTAACCCCCCTCTTTTCCCACCCATTCTCTGCCCCCTCTCCCCGTGTCTCCAGGTGTACTGAATGTGCCCATGGTGCTGACCGGCCACTCCCTGGGCCGCAACAAGCTCGAGCAGCTGCTGAAGCATGGCCGCATGAGCCGCACTGAGATCAACACTTAGTACGCCATTGACCGCTGCATTGTAGCCGAGGAGTTTTCGCTGGACGCGGCGGAGCTGGTGTGGTGACGAGCACACGGCACGAGGTGGAGGAGATATTTGATCTTCCCCTGCTTCCCCACCCCCCCCTTCCCTCCCCGGCTTCTGTGTCCAGGTGCACTGAACGTGCCCATGGTGCTAACTGGCCACTCCCTCGGGCGCAACAAGCTGGAGCAGCTGCTGAAGCAGGGCCGCATGAGCCGCACTGAGATCAACGCTCAGTACGCCATCGACCGCCGCATCGAGGCGGAGGAGTTTTCGCTCGATGCAGCGGAGCTGGTGGTGACGAGCACGCGGCAGGAGGTGGAGGAGCAGTGGGGGCTGTACGACGGCTTTGACGTGCGCCTGGAGCGTGTGCTGCGCGCCCGCCAGCTCCGCGGGGTTAGCTGCCACGGCCGCTTCATGCCGCGCATGGCCGTAAGTACAGGCTCAGGGTTTGGGGTCTCAGGGTTTGGGGTTTCAGTGTTTGGGTTTTTAGGGTTTGGGGATTCAGGCCACAGTCTTTGTTGCCAGCTCCGGGGGGTCAACTGCCACGGCCACTTCATGCCACGCATGCCACCCTACACTTTAAACCCTATATCCGAAGCTATTTGATTCTCCCAACACTCTCCCGTTCTCCTGCTTCCATTCGCCCCTTGTTTTCCCTTTTTGCCCCTTGTTTTCCCCCCGGCATGGATTTCTCCAATGTGGTTGTCCCGGATATTGACTCGTGTGATTTTCCCGACACTCCTCTCCTTCCCTCTTCCCTCTCACGTCCCTTTCTGTCCCGTGTGTTCCCATCCTTCTCGCACTGATCAGGTGATTCCCCCCGGCATGGATTTCTCCAATGTGGTTGTCCCAGACATTGACTCCTGTGATTCTCCCGGCCCCGAACCACCCATCTGGGCGGAGGTACGAACGAGCGACCTCGTCTTGTCTACCGCGATCTGTCACTAATGTCTTGTCCCATCCCCCGCATCCTCTTGTTGCACCACTGCAATCCCACTCTCCTCCCCTCTGAACAGCGTGCAACGAGTATGCTTTTGAGACGACTTAAAAGCAGACTCATTACACGCGGATTTTGCACTGCCATTCTTCGCTCATCCCCCCTGAATGTTCCTTTTCTCTCATCCTCCCGGCCCCACTCTTCTCTCGAATGCCCCCTCTCACTAGCGCTTCCCTAGGTAAGTTCTGGTCCAACCCTCACACCATCATTCTGGCTCATCGTCCCTCCATCGCCCCCCCTCTCCTGCTCCCCCTCTCCTGCCCCCCCTCTCCTGCCCCCCTCCCCTGCTCCCCCTCTCCTGCCCCCCTCTCCTGCTCCCTCTCTCCTGCCCCCCTCTCCTGCTCCCCCTCTCCTGCCCCCCTCTCCTGCCCCCCCTCTCCTGCTCCCCCTCTCCTGCCCCCCCTCTCCTGCCCCCCTCTCATGCTCCCCCTCTCCTGCCCCCCTCTCCTGCCCCCCTCCCCCTTCTCCCCAGGTGCGCAAGTTCTGGTCCAACCCCCACAAGCCCATCATTCTGGCTCTGGCCCGTCCCGACCCCAAGAAGAATCTCACCACGCTCGTTAGGGCCTTCGGGGAGTGCCAGGCGCTAAGAGATCTGGCGAATCTGGTAAGCGGCATGGGTGCTACAGCATAGAGCATAGTGAGTTATGGTCTGGTCGAGCCCCTGCAAGCCCATCATTTTGGCCCGCCCATCTCACTTGTTTGGTTAGGCCGTTTGGGGAGTGCCAGGCACTCAGAGACGGTTTAAAAATTCCTCCTCCTTCGGACTCCGTTCTCCCTCCTTCTGCCCGCCCCCTCTTTGCCCCCCGCGCATCCCCCCCAACCAGCAGCGTCTGGTGATGGGTAATTGTGAGCAGTGCAGAGGCGCTAACAGCAGTGCTGAAGGGGTGCTGAAGCTGATCCACAAGTACGACTTGTACGGGCAGGTGGCCTACCCCAAGCACCACAAGCAGGCTGAAGTTTCAACCATATCTATCCCTCTCTCCCTCTTTTCTTTCTGCTCTCCTCCACTTCCCTTCCCCTCCTCCCACCCACCCCTCCGCCCTGGCTATTTGCAGTGCTTGGTGATGGGCAATCGCAGCGACATTGATGCCATGAGTGCGGAGAACGCAGAGGTGCTGACCACGGTGCTGAAGCTGATCGACAAGTACGACCTGTACGGGCAGGTGGCCTACCCCAAGCATCACAAGCAAGCTGAAGTGCCGGATATCTATGCGCTCGCTGCCAAATCGAAGGTGGGTGGGACTTTCACTCCTCTGAACCACAGTGTCTTAGAGCGTTTAGAGAGCACTTACATGCACACAAGCGATAGGTGAGGTGCACCCCGCAGCATTCTTTCCTCTACCAGACTCGTTTTTGAATCACCAACTCCTGTCCCTCCTCTCCCTCCCCCATGCCCCTCTCTCCCTCATGCCCCTCTCCTCCTCTCTCCCCCATGCCCCTCTCTCCCCCATGCCCCTCTCTCCCCCATGCCCCTCTCTCCCCCATGCCCCTCTCTCCCCCATGCCCCTCTCTCCCCCATGCCCCTCTCTCCCCCATGCCCCTCTCTCCCCCATGCCCCTCTCTCCCCCATGCCCCTCTCTCCCCCATGCCCCTCTCTCCCCCATGCCCCTCTCTCCCCCATGCCCCTCTCTCCCCCATGCCCCTCTCTCCCCCATGCCCCTCTCTCCCCCATGCTCCAAATCCCCGTGTCTCCAGGGTGTGTTCGTGAATCCAGCCCTTGTGGAGCCGTTCGGCCTCACTCTCATCGAGGTATGTATGGCCACTTGCAGTTGCAAGACAAGCAGAATATGAGTGGTGGATTTTCTTGGGGTGGGTGGGGAATCTGCTGAGAGCAGATGGGTGGATCGGATGCCTTTTTCTTGCTCCTCCCGCTTCTCTCTTCGCTGGCTTCTCTTCACTCACCTAGGTCCTCCCTCCCCGTTTCATCATGCCTTGAGGTAAGTTCGTAATTTTTTCTCTTTGATGTATATATACATATGTGTGTGTGTGTGTGTATATATATATATGTATATATATATGTATATATATATATATATATATATATTTTTTTTTTTCTTTTTTCCAAAAGCCAGCGGACCTCCTTCTGCTTCTCTTGGCGCTGGCATCACTGTTTGCCCAGTTCCTCACCTCATGGCGCCAATCATCGTGCCGTGGTCACTGTTTGCACAAACGTCAGCGTGTTCTGCCGTATGTCTTTTGAGGCTTTTCAAACCTTTTGACTTTTGAGGCGCCTCAAAAGTGGTCCCTGTTTGCACCAACGCCAGCCTGTTCTGTCGCGTCTTCTCTTCCCTATGCATCGTCTTGTTCCATCCCACCCATCCATCCCACCCGTCCATCCCACTCGTCCATCCCACCCGTCCATCCCACCCGTCCATCCCCCAATCGCATCCCACAGGCAGCAGCGCATGGCCTTCCCATGGTGGCAACCAAGAACGGCGGCCCAGTCGACATCCAAAAGGTGAGGGTGTTTAAAGCCGCGCACACGGTTACCAGGTTACCAGCTGCCTCCAGTACATTTCTCCCCTTTGATCTCGCTCACAGCGCACGGCCTTCACATGGCGGCAATTAAGAACGGCAGCCCGTTTTGAGGCACCTCAAAAGTACCCTAAGAATGGCGGCCCGGCCCGGCCTGGCCCGGCTGACATCCAGAAGGTGGGTGAGTGCTTGGTTTATGCGCACGATAGTTACCAGGTTACTTACTTGTTGACCCTCACCGTCACAACGCCAATGCCCTTGCGTCGGCGCTGCTGCAGCTGGTGGTGGACAGTAGGGCCTCTTGTTGCCCGTCTTTCTCAGTCTCTTCTCGCCCTCCCCCCTCCCTCCCTCTCCCCTGTCAGATGCTGAGCGAAAAGAGATTGAGAAAGAAGAGCAACGGTCTGGTAGTGGATCCTCACGATGCCAGCGCCCTGGCATCAGATCTTGTGGTTCCCTTGTGTTCCAAGCTCCTCGGCACCCTCTTCCCCCCCCCCCCCTCCCCCTCCCCCGCCCTCTCTCCATCCCTCCCCTGGCAGATGCTGAGCAATGGCCTGGTAGTGGACCCTCACGATGCCAACGCTCTCGCGTCAGCGCTCCTGCAGCTGGTGGCGGACCGGGGCCTCTGGAACGACTGCCGCAAGTCAGCCCTGGCCAACATCCACAAGTACTCCTGGCCGCAGGTGAGTTTTCTCCTAGTTTCAGAGCAGGGTGAATGCGGCCTCAGGTGGGTGGGATTCCGCCAAAACAGACTCCCTGGTGGCTGAATGAGGCCTCTGGAATGGCTGCCAGAAGTCAGCCCTTGCCAGCATCCACAAGTACTCGTGGCCGCGCGTGGGTGTGATTCGCCTCTGGTGCGGTTAACCTGCTTCTTGATTGGCCCAAAACCAGGCTGCTGCAGCTGGTGGCGGACAGAGGGCTCTGGAATGAGTGCCGCAAGTCAGCCCTGGCTGGAGGTGGGAGTGATTCGCTCCAGGTGTGTGAAATCTGCTTCCTAGACGCCTCGAAGCCCAGGCTACTGCAGCTGGTCGCGGACAGAAGCCTCTGGAACCACTGCAGAAAACCGGCTCTTGCCACCAACAACATCCACAAAGACTCCCATTTTTGCTGGTTTCCCAGGCACCAAAATTCCTCATCCCTGCCTATGAGTGCCCCATCCCTGTCTCTGAGTGCCCCATCCCTGCCTCTGAGTGCCCCATCCCTGCCTCTGAGTGCCCCATCCCTGCCTCTGAGTGCCCCATTCTTCTTGTCTTCCCTTCCACCCCCGCCCCCCCCAGCACTGCGCGTCTCTCCTCACGCACGTATCCCAGTGTCGCCTGCACCACCCCGCGTGTTTCTTCTCCCCTCCTTTCATCACTATACACCCCTCCCCCAACCTTTTCCATCCCCCCCCAACAGCACTGCGCATCCCTCCTCACGCGCGTGTCCCAGTCACGTCTGCGCCACCCCGTGTGGCGGGCAGCAGCGCTCTTCGACCAGGTGGCCGCCTCCTCGTCTGCCCACAACACCGGCCTGCAGTCCGACTCCCTGCGGGACATCCTAGACCTCTCCCTGCGCCTCTCCATGGATGGGAAATTCTGGGGCGGGGGGTCCTTCCAAGGGGGGTCTATGGATCTCTCTTTCATGCTCGATAGCCTCGGGGTTGTCAGGCCGGATGGGCGGTCCGCTAGTGGCTATGCGGCTGATTCTGCTGGTGTTGGTGGTGTAGGGGAAGGGCTGGGGCCGGGAGCAGCGCTGGGGTTGCCCAGCAGGCAGGGGAACTACTCCTTCACTGGGGGTATGTCGTCGGAAAGTGCTGGGCGGTACTGGGAAGGGGTGGGAGGGCCGGGGCGGCTGCAGGGGATGATAGAAGAAGCGGAGGACGGATCAGCTGGAGCAGGAGCAGGAGCAGGGGGGGAGAAAGGGTCTGCAGCAGGAGCAGCAGCAGCGGCTGCATTTGAGGGGCTCAGGCTGCGTAGGAGGCGCCGGCTGATCGTAGTAGCAGTGGATGAATACGACCCTGTTGGCCGGCCGGGCTCGTCTGTTCTCGAGTCTCTCTGCTCCGCCCTCGAAGTGGCATACCGGCACAACACGGGGACGCTAAGGGAGCGTGTTGTATGGGGTATGGGCCCGGGCGGGGAGATAGGCGTGGTCTTGGCGACTGCACTGACAGCAAGGGAGACTGTGGCTCTGCTAGGGGCAGCGGGAGTGGGGCTTCGGCAGCTAGACGCTCTGATTGCTGGGGGAGGGAGTGAGGTGTACTACTCTGTACCATGCTCCACCGCATCAGATCTTGGAGCAGCAGCGGATGCAGGGGCAGGTGGGGGAATAGGGGCAGGAATGGTGGCAGGGATGGCCACTCTGGAGGACAGGGAAGGCTGGCAGTTGCTCCCGGATCCGGATTACTTTGCGCATATCGAGTATCGATGGAGTGCGGATGGTGTGCGCAGGTCCATGGGGCGAGTCCTGGCGCACGCTATAAGGGGTACAGCCGGTGGGGCTGTTAGCGCGGCCACTACACCTCCTGCTGCTGCGTCCGGTGGCGTTTTCCCACCGTCTGCATTGGCCCTGTCTGGCGCTAATGGCTCTGCTTCTGCTGCAGCAGGGGAACCACACAGCACCGGTCTTCACCCCGCTGTATCTGCTGCGGATGATGACGGCTTTGTCCGTTCAATCTCCCTATCAGACGGGCTGACAGCGATCTCCTCTGAGCCTGCGGCTGCTCCGGCCCGCACAGCCATCCCTGGCAGCAAGAGCGTGACTGGGAACAGGCTGGGGGGCGTGGGGGCGGGATCGAGGGGCGTGGGGGGTGGGTTGCTGCTGCAGCAGCAGCAGCTGCTGGCGGTGCAGCGGGTGTGTGTGGAGGATGACTTGAGGACCACCTCGAGGCGACTGGCTTACCGGGTGCTGGACATTGCTCAGGTGGGAAATCTTTGACCTTGAATGGGTGACCCTTGCTGATTTTTCTTAGGTATGCTCTACACTTAGGTGCCTGAGAATGCAACTGTTCAATATTGTGTGATCCCTTTTCTCCTCCTCCCCCCTCGTCGCCCCCAGATGCCCACAGCAGCTGACTTGCGCCGTCGCCTGCGCCTACGTGGCTTGAGGTGCCACGTGGGCTACTGCCGTGGTGCCACGTGTCTTCACATCCTGCCTCTCCACGCGTCGCGCTCACAGGCCCTCAGGTTAGCTTGGATGCCCTTTTTATGTAGCATAAGAGCGGGCCGCAACATAACAAGAGCATGCGAGCTCGGATGCCCTAAGGTTTCCTTGAGGAGCTCAGATACCCTTGTTACGTAACAATACTGTGGGTTGCAACAAGGTTCCTTTGGGGAGCTCGGATATTCTTGTTACGTAACTTTGGAACAGGTTGCAACAGATGCGTTCAGTCATATCATCCATCCTTTCTCATTGCCTTGGTTGTTAAGCTGGTTCTTGAGATCTCATTGCCATGGTTAGTAATCTATCTTCCCTATGCTTACCTGCCTGCATGTCATTCCTTACCTCCCCCTGCTGCCTGCTGTTCGGCTTCGAACACTTTGCAGAAGATTTCCTTAGGATTATGAAGAATGGAGTACAGTTCTGTGTGTCTCAAACTACCACAGGCATGGACTAAAAACGATGTTGGTTTTTAGAAGTCTCATGCTACAATGTCTTCATACTAAAAGGGAGGTTGTCCTTCCCACCTCCCTCCTCCCACCTCCCTCCTCCCCCCTCCCCACTCCGGCCCCCACCACGCTCCTACTCCCTCCCAATTCCAGGTACCTTTGTGTCCGCTGGGGATTGGAGCCCGCTGACCTGGCAGTGATCGTCGGCAGTCCAGCTGGCGCTGACGGGGACTACGCCCAGCTGCTGTCAGGCATGCACCACACACTAATCTTGGAGGCCCCAGCTGACGTGTCACAGCAGCAAGCAGCAGGAGCAGGAGCAGCAGGGGGGCCTACAATAGGAGTTGATCCCTTTGCGGAGTATAGGCGTAAGCTGCTGCATGAGTTTGTGCCGCGCCCCGATGTGCAGCTGCCGAATCTGGTGAATGTGGAGGATTCGAAGGACAAGGTGGCAGCGCTGGCTGGAGCCCTGGAGAAGATCGGGTTTGCGTAGACGGTTGATCTGTTCTGGGGCATTGGAGTGGGAAGCTGCTGTATGGGTTTGTGCCTCGCAGCATCATGCATGCAGCTGCCGAATCTGGTGAACATGGAAAATTCCAAGGACAAGGTCGCTCGACAAGATAGGGTTCGCTTAATGGCTGGTCGGTTACGTGTGGCAGGCAGCTGCTGCACGAGCTATGCTGCGCAGTGAACTGCATATGCCTGGTGTGGAGAACGTGGAAGTTGGAAGGGATGAAGGGGGCAGGGATTTAAGTGGCAGCTCTGGCTGGAAGTTAGGGCCGGAATAAGTAGGTTTTGTGTCGACTGTTACTCTGTTACAGGAAGATGTGGCTGCACGAGTTTGTTCTGCAACCAATACAACCTTGGAGGGAGAAGGGTTTGCATAAGCAAATGCTTTCTTTCCCATGGGTTTTCTACCCTCCCTTCTTTCCCTTCCCTGGTGGTGACTGTTGTTGTGTTGATATATCTGTGTCTTTCTTTCCCAAAACCAAGGATAGCATCTTGGTGGTGCAGAGAACAACTTGATATACCGTCGCCTTGTGCCAATACATGCTGATTGTAGGTATGAATCCCAGAGTAGTGAATTGACTAGAATGAGAGATTCACGGTAGTTTTGTGCTAAGGGGTTGTACTCTCTAAGAGTACGCACCTATCTAGCCTATAATAACATATACAAATTGTCAAACATATCTAAGTATGTTAGTTTAGACAATATAGGTTTGTGCCTTAGAGGGTACAACACACTAGCCTATATACCCCTGTACTCTCTCCTTCGATTTTATTCTTCCATTCTGATATGGTATCAGAGCAGGTTAGGTCCCACCACCCACCAGCGCTTCCGCCCTAGGTCCTAGCCGCCCGTTCCCCTAGCCGGCCTCGTTCCCCTTAGCTAGCCCACCCCGTAGCCGGCCCCCGCACACGTTCCTAGCCGGCCCCCTGCGCCCGTTCCTAGCCGGCCCTCGCGCCCGTCCCTTGCCGGCCCCGCGCCCGCTCCTAGCCGGCTCCGCGCTCGCCCCTTATCGGTCCCGCGCCCGCCCCTAGTCGCCCCCCCCCCCCGCGCCCCTTTCCTAACCGGCCCCGCGCCCGGCCCTAGTCGGCCCCGCGCCTGTTCCTAGCCGGCCCCCATGCCCGTCCCTAGCTGGCCCCCGCGCCCTTCCTTGGCCGGCCCCGCGCCCGCCCCTAGTCGCCCCCGCGCCCGTTCCTAGCCGGCCCCCGCGCCCGTTCGTAGCCGGTCCCCACGCCCGTTCCTAGCCGGCCTCTGCGCCCGCCCCTAGTCGGCCCCGCGCCCGTTCCTCGCCGGCCCCCGTGCCCGTTCCTAGCCGGCTTCCACGCCCGCCCCTAGTCGGCCCCGCGCCCGTTCCTAGCTGCCCCCCTGCACCGCTGCTACATCGCTCCTGATGGCGGACTCCGTGCTCCGCTTGGACGCAGAGGGTCAGCCACTCGAGGGACACGTGGCTGGTCGACCTCCGCCGTCATCTCACTGGCCAGCGGCAGGACAGCCACTCCCTGGCGGTTCACCTTGACGGTACGCTTCCCTGCCCTGACCCCGTTGCTGCTCTGCCCGCTGACCCCTCGTCCGCTGACCGTGAGTCCGCTGCCGCTGCTGCCCTTGCCCGCTCAGTTTGGTTGTCACGTGACGCTGTCGCGCAGCTCGCGATTGGTCATGCCCTCCCCCTGTCTGAGCGCCCCCGCTTTAGGTCGGTCACGACTGCGCAGGAGTTCCTCGACGCTATTTTCAAGCGCTATTCCACCCCGCCCGCTGCCTCCGTAGGTCGCCTGATCCTGCCGATGCTCTTTCCTGACCTTGCGTCTTTCCCCACTATCGCCGACCTGGCCGCTCACCTGCGCACGATACACACGACTTGGCGCTCTGCCTGCACTAAGACCCAGCTTAGTGCCTTTCGGCCGCCCATCTGCTCTACCCTCTACTTGCTTGCCACCCGCCTCCCTGACCATCTTGCCACTGCCCGCGATCGTTTTCTTAGCATCCACCCCGGTGACCTCACCCTCACTAACTTTGTCGACACCCTGTCTGCCATACAGACCAGCCATCGCTCTATCGCCCAGAAAGCGGTACTGTGCCGGTCCCTATCTTTCAGGGTTGTGCCCCCGCTCAATACACCTTCTCAAACGGTTCCGCTGCTGTGGCTGAGACCGCAGCTGCAGCGCAGTTCCGTCCGGGGAAGGGTCGCCGCCCCAAGGCTGGGTGCGGCGTTGGGGGTGGCAGTGCAGGTGGAGGCGGTGGTGGAGCCGGGTCGCCCGGTGGTAGTGCTGACGAGGGGACCGTGACTGGTGCAGCCGAGTAGCTGTCCCAGCAGCAGCAGGCGTCGCAGCCGAACTAGCACCAGCAGCAGCAGCAGCCGCAGCAGCAGCCACAGTAGCAGCCGCAGCAGCAGCGGCGGGCGAGTGGTCTCCTGCCCGGATGGCCTGGCGCTGGAGGTGGCGGTGGACATGGTGGTCATGCGCGTGGTGTGCCTCCGGGTGGCAGTTCGGGTGATGGGCGCTGTCAGTACCAGCTCCAAACCGGTCCTCACCGCGGCTCCGTTTGCAGTAAGATCGGTCACACCCCCGTCCGCTGTTCTCGTCGCTTGGACGACTTGTTTCGACTTCGTTTCAGCCCGTCGCCCTACCTCCCCGACTGGCACAGCTTGCTTCGCCGTAATGTTCCGTTTTCTTATATGGACATGGAGGAGATTAGCTCTGCCCTGTATGTGCTGTATGTTGATGACTCTAGTCTGACTAGTTCTTACTACCCCTTGTTGTCTAGTGTAGGTGTGTCTAGTCTTGCCTCCCCTGCTGCGTTAGGCGTAGGATCCCTTGCCTTGTTTAGCCTTGGTTCTTCCCTCACTGCTCCGACTCCGGCTGCCACTGCTGCGCTCTCCTTCACCCTCGACTCTGGCGCTTCCCGGTGTTTCTTCCACGACCCCACTACGCTGACACCACTTGCTGCTCCTGCGGCATTTTCCCTTGCCGACCCCTCCTCCGGTCCGGTAGTCTCGCGTAGTTCCACCACCCTTCCCTGTCCACCGGCTCCTTCGGGCTCTCTTACAGGCCTGCACATCCCCTCGTTCACCAGGAACCTAGTTGGTGTCAGCTGCCTCTAGGACCTTGGCGTCACCACTACGTTCCCTGGTCACGAGCCGTACGCTGTCTGTACCGAGGCCGCCACTGGTGCTCCCCTCACCACGTTCCCCCGGGACCCGGTGTCCGGCCTGTTCACACCAGAGACCCCCCCCCGGTTGGGACGTCTCCTCATGTGGCTGCGTCTACCCAGGTTGCTGCGCCCTGCTCGTGTCGGTCGCTTACTCACCCGACACTCCAGTGGCACCACCGTCTAGGTCGCCCCGCACTCCCCCGTCTGCGTCACATGTCTCAGCACGGTCTTGTCCTAGGCCTCCCAGGGTCGTTCCCCGGGTTGCCCTCCTCCCCAGCGCCACCGTGTACGCCCTGCGTTGAGGGCCGGCTCCGCCGTGCCCCTCACTCCTCCTCGTTCCCCCCCACCGCTGCACCGCTACAGACCCTGCACATGGATGTCTGGGGCCCCGCCCCCATCCATGGGCCGCGTCGAGAGTGCTACTTTCTTGTGCTTGTCGACGAATACACGCGCTACACCACTGTGTTTCCCTTGGAGCGGAAGACTGACATGCCTGGCGTTCTTATCCCGTGGCTTGACTCTGCGCGTGTCCACCGCGGTCTCCCTGTTTTGCGTCTCCACTCTGGCCGTGGTGGCGAGTTTGCCTCCGGCGTCCTTGGTCGTTTCTGTCGTGCGGAGGGCATCACCCAGACGTTCACCTTGCTGGAATCCCCGCAGCAGAATGGGGTCGCTGAGCGACGCATCGGTTTGGTCATGGAGGTAGCTCGTACCTCCATGATCCAAGCCGGTGCACCCCATTTTCTGTGGCCGTTCGTCGTTTGCTACGCCGTTCACCAGCTTAATCTGTGGCCGCACCCCCAGCAACCGCGGGTTTTGCCGACCCTTCTTTGGTCCGGGTCTCCTGGTGACGCGTCTGCGTTCCACGTCTTGGGCTGCCTTGCTCACGCTGGTGCCTCTAGCACGGACAAGCTCACTGCCCGCACCATCCCCCGTATCTTCCTTGGTTTCTCCCTCGACTCGTCTGACTGGCACTTCTACCACCCGCCGTCCCACTGTTTCTTTCACTCCCGCGACGTCACCTTTGACGTGTCCGTCTCCTTCTACCACCGCTTTCCTCACCATGGTCCCCCGGTTACTCCCTCCCTATTCCTGGTTCCCCCTTCCCTGGTCGCTCTTGTCCCTCCCCCTCCCCCTCCCCGTCATGCCCCGTCTGGTGTGTCTCACGTCACCCCCCTCCCATCGGTTGTCCCGGTCGAGGAGTTTGCTGACTCTGGTGGCCCTGCGGCGCAATCCTCACCGCCAGCCCCTCCCCCGGTGTCTCCTCCTCTGCCGCCTCCGCAGCCGCCGTCGCCGCCTTCGCCGCCGCCGTCGCCGCCGCCGTAGCCGCTGCAGCCGTCGCCGCAGCCGCCGCCGCAGTAGCCGTCGTCGCAGCCGTCGCTGCAGCAATTTGTTGACTCTGGGGGTGCAGGCGTTGGGGTGGGTACTAGTCCCCAGGTTCCTGTCGTGGCTTGTCCCGGCGAGCCTGTGGGTGGTACCGATGCTGGAGGGGGTTTGGGATATGGGGTTGTTTCTTCTGGGGGTGCTGGAGAGGAGTGTTTGGGAGGTAGCCGTGGAGCAGCTTGTGGTCTCGGTGTCGGTGTTGTGCCGCCGCAGCAGCAGTCACCGCCGGTGTCAGCCCTTCGCCTGCTCGGCCTTCCGTTCCCTGACCCCGCGTCTATGCCTCTCCTGATGTCTCCTCCTCTTCCTATCCACGGCCCTGTCTTCCCTCCCCTGGACTCAACTCCGGCTCCTCTTCCCCCTCGTTCCCCTCTTGTCTCCCCTCCTCTGTCTCCTCACCCGACGCCTCCATCTCACGTCTGGTCTCACCGTCCCTCCCGGGCTCGCCCCGTCTCCCCTGTCCCGCGCTATCACCCTATGTTGCTTCGTTCCCACGCGTCTCGTCCTCCCCTCCTACCGTCGCCTCCTCCGTCCTTGTTGCGCCTCCCCCTCTGTCTGACTACCTTCGTGCTGCTTGTCCACTTGTTCCTCGGGTCCTTGCCTCTCTTGTTACCGACCCGTCTGTTCCGGTCTTGCTTCTTGACACTCTTGTCACTGCGGTCGCTGACTTCACCTCTACTCGCGGCCATGACTACGCCACTGCTCTGGTTTCTTACCCTGCCCCTCCTCCGTCCATCAGGGGTGCTCCTGCCCTCGGCGGTGACGTCTTGGACGACCGGGTGTACGAGCTTGCTTTCCTGTCTGAGCCTGCTCCCCATCTCAGTTCCATGCTGCTAGTCCTTGAGGGAGACCCAGACGCTTTCGACATCCCGACCCCTCGCACTTACGCTGAGGCGACCTAGGGACCCTAGGCCTCTAAGTGGATAGCTGCCATGGAGCAGGAGATGGCATCTTGGAGATCCACTGGCACCTACGTT